CCTCCTTTTATTATTCTATACTTCCAATCCATTCATTTGACAGTTTTCAGAGGATCACTCTCCAAACAACCCGTTGGACAAAAATGCATAAAGAAGATTGAGTAGCCTTTGAGAGATAATATCTTAATCTCCATTGATTTAGTCGCCCATACAAACAAATCTTAGTTTTCATAAGTAGAGTTCTTTGATTAATAAAAGTAGCTTGCCTTCGGAGTGATTGCCAATCAGTCAAGATGTCTTGGGTGAAGAATTTCGTTGGAAAACAATTTTTAAGATTGAAGATCAATCAATGCTATCTGTATACGAAATCCTAGCTAGATCACTAGTTGTTATCATATAAGTAATGGAGTTTGTGTCTGAATATATATAGCCATAGGTGGATTTCGTAATATGATGATATTCAACTTTAGCATAGAATCTAAAGAAATTAAATGTTTTGATAATCTCTGCGTATAAGTTTTTTTGATATCCACACTGTTGTTCTGATGATATCCATGCAATAATATTGATGATATCCACGAAGTAACTGTCTTAAGGGGTAAACAATGGATTACTTACATTGTTTAGGATAGAGAAACCAAATGCCTCTCATCATTTTCAGTCCACACCTTTCGCGAGGCAACTCTTCATCTTGGAAACGGGGAATTTTTCTTCACTCATCTTACATATATAAAAGATAGTATGTAGGATTAGGCTTGCTTTTCATCACTCTGACGCATCTCATTTAGCATTCTCAAGCATTACACATCATTCATTGAATCGTCTGACTAGATAAGTTCCAAATGAAATTGGTGAATTGGACAAGCATAATATCATGCTATATCTTCTATCGAAAGATATGAGCATCGTAAGAGCTTATCAACTTTAAGCACGAGAAATATTGCAATTTCATCATAAGAAAATTATCATGCCAAAAAGTTTATCAATAGAATTTTGACGCAAAAGGCATGACCTCAATAACATTTAATTATGCAAGAGTCAATAGAAGCACCACGCACTTGACATCATCAACTTATCCTTGCTTATATCAAACCGTTCCTGCATATATCAACTTGATTCTGTGTATTTTGCAAACATTTATCAAGTTTAGTGAAACAACCTATTCACCCCCTTTAGGTTGCATATGTAGGCATAACAAGATATTCTACCATCTGGGACAAGTCTCTACAACGTTGAGTGGACATGAAGTGCTATGATTCGTACATGAAATGCAATGACTTGTGTAGCTTGATATTGATATGGCTTGTGTAGCCTGTGATGTAATATTTTTGAATAGACATAATTATGCGGATGTTTAGTGGTGTATTTATCCACACTAATGTAGAGGACACCTGTCACGCCTCGAACCCCAACGGCTCGCGACACCTCTTCAGCGGTCGTATTGAACGCGACGTCCCAGGACGCGTCGCCGACCCAAACGAAACACCCAACGATAAAGGCAAGCGGAAGCGAATTTAAAACAACCAAGACAATAAAATATGACAAAGGGATAGCACAAAACAATAATTCCAAATACACAACATCAAAAGGGAATAGTGGTGGGGTATCCTACTTCGCTATACAAAAGAGGGGCACACAAAATATGGGGTAACTTGACCCGTCCTCCATCCCCGAGATACCCTGGTGGCGTCTCCAATCAATCACGGTCGCAGATCTGAAAATGGTTATATAATAACCGTGAGAACGAGTCTCAATAAGCAACCCCCTATACCCCACATAGGCCAATGCGTACCCAGACAAGTTGTAACATGCAATCTAACCAATAACTTATATATAATTCACATCAATGGACTTACCTCGCCATCCAATCACATGCCCACACTGTACATTAGTCAAATCACATTAGTGCATCCAGCAGAGCTCATATTCAGATCACACAAGGAAATTTCCCATGCATCATACAATAACACTCGCGCGTGTCTCGATTATAAGGTAAAACCACTTGGGCACGTCCCATACCATGCCTAGCAGTATTCACCTCATAATCAAACACTATGCAACATGCGTGATCCAGCCAACTTTCTCACGACCTCCCAGGTCCTTTCACGCTGCCCGCGCCACTGCGCCTCAGGCCCATTCTCACGACCCGCGCTACTGCGCCTCAGGTCAGCCCTCAGATCAAGCCGGGCTCCGTCCCTCACTGGACATTTCAATCTTTCCCACGACCGCAGCTCTGCGCCTCGGGTCGACCCCGGATCAAGCCGGGCCGTCCGCGTAACCACGCCTCGGGACATTTTTCCCTTTCCAATGACCCGCGTAACCTACGCCTCGGGTCTAACTCACCTTTCACGGCCGCGTAAACACGCCTCGGGCTCGCCCTCCGATCGATCCGGGCTTTTCTCATGCACATGCACCACAATACAAAATTCACCATGCTCTTAGTCATATAAATCAATTTCAATCACCACCCTTTCACCAATGTCAATCTAGCACGCCACATCAGTCAACTCAATTCATGCTCTCCACATCGGTCCACCGACCCGACATTCATGTCAGCACATTCAATTAATCCAATTCACTCACAAGCGCCACGACAATTCAGTCAGGCATATTTATCTCAGTCAATCACTAAATCAGCCGCACAATTATCGCCACAATAATTCACCAATTAAGCACAATCAGTCTAATTAGCCCACGCCTAATTAAAGTCCTAAGCCGGTACTAAATTTCACCCTAAACAAGTCTAAAAATACCCAAAGTACTAGGTAGGGTTTAGGAAGTCACTTACTAGGTTTTGGCCGGGGAAAAGTCGGCTCGGGCCCAAAATGGCTCGGGTGAACAGTTCCGAACTAGGCGCGGGCGCGGGCCAACAAGCGCGGTGGCCAGCCAACGCGGGCACAGTGGCCGGACGGTGTGCCTGGTGCGCGGGCGCGGTGGCCGATCGACGTGCCTGGGCGCGCGAGCGAGCGGGACGGGCGGCGTGCCCGAGCGCGGCCGGGCCGGCTGAGCGGGCAATGCGCTTGGGCGACGGGCGAGGGGCCGAACGGAACGGGCCAAGGGCAAGCGGGACGAGCGACGAGCCGGCCAATGGGCAGCGACGCCGGGCACACGGCCGAGAGGAGTTGGGCACGTCGGGATTCGCCGGGGCGAGCTCGGGCACGGCTGGGCACGGCTAGGCTAAGCGGCACTGGCCTGGGTTGGCCGGGAGGGCTGTTGGCCGGGCCGGCTGGCTGGCTGGCCGGCAGCGACGAGAGCGGCAGAGGCTCGGCCATAATCTGGGGCAGTCCGCCAAGGCCGAGGCGGGCGTTAGGGCGAACCAGGCGGGCTCGGCGGCTGCAGTGGACTGGGCAGTGCGGCTGAGGGCTGAGTGGTGGCGGACGGAGCAGCGGCGGCGGCCGGAACGACGGCGCGCGGCGGCTGGATGAGGCGGAGCCGGACGGGGGAAAAATGAGCTCGGGGAAGGAGAGAAACAGGGGAAGGGGATGGTCGCACGACGGCCGGAGGCGGCACGGCGGCGGGGCGAGGCCGGACGAGCTAGTCGGCGGCTCGGCGGAGCCTGGCCTCGTCGGACACGGCGGTGAGCTGAGCTGGGCAAGGGCGGGCTCGGCTTGGCGAAGGAAAATAGGGGAAGGAGAAGGAGAGGGGGGGCTCGTGGCGGTGACGGCACGGCGGCTGGCGGGCCGAGCGGCGTCGGCGCACGGTGGCCAGGCGAGCTTGGGCGGACAGTCGGGCGGAGGCAGCAGGGCGGTCGCACGGCAGACGGCGTGCAGGACAGAAACGAAGCAGAACAGTTGGGGCTGGGGGAGGAAGAAGGAAGAGAAGAGAGAAGAGAGAGAGAGGGAAAAAGAAAGAGAAGAAGGAAGAGGAGAGAGAGAGAGTGGTGTGTCAGAGGGTTGGTCTGCATGGGCGCGGGCTGAGGGGACGTTGCATGGGGGAGACGTGCGCGGCCAGGAGGGGAGAGAGAGAGAGAGAAAGGTGGGGCAGACGCAATGAGGAGAGAGAAGGAGAGGACGGACGCATTGGGGGAAAAAGAAACGTGCGCGGCAAAGGAGAGAGAGGAGAGAGAAGAGAGCCAAAAAGTCAACGCGCACTCGAGCGCGATCCAACGGACACGGTTCAAATTCGGAAAACGATCTAACGGTCCGCAAAAATCCAAATTAATATTATAGGACAAATGGCCAAAATAAAATAACTCAAAACACACTACGAGGGAGGTCTACTAGTCCAAATTCGCATCCGGTCAAAAATCCACTTTCTCACTATTCCTGATAATCTCGACGTTGGCCACAACAATACCGACACCGTCCAATTTATTTCTTCCCGAAACTCCCGAAAATCGACTGCCAAGTTCGAGGTCTAAATAACGGCCAAATTCGATCGAGTGCGATTCTAGCGAAATCTCTATTTTAAAAACGAGAACCCGAGAGTGATCAGTTCCCGGGCGAGATTCCATTATAAGCGCACTGATGGATTACACGTTTTATAAATCCCAAAAATGGGCCGAAATTCGGGATGTCACAACTCTTCCCCCCTTACAAAAATTTCGTCCTCGAAATTTACAATCCAAACCCAACTACTCAAATAAATGGGGTTATTGGTGTCGCATCACTTCCTCGCTTTCCCATGTGGCGCCTTCCGTCCCGTGATGTTCCCAGATAACTTTGACCAACGGAATCGCCTTGTTCCTCAAAACCTGTTCCTTCCTGTCCTCGATCCGAACTGGCTTCTCCATGTACGACACCCTGTCGTCCACGTCTATTATCTCATGATTCAACACGTGGGTCGGATCCGGTTCGTATTTCCTCAACATCGACACGTGGAAGACGTTATGAACCTGCGACAAATTCGGCGGTAAGGCGAGACGATAGGCCAACGTCCCAATCCTTTCCAAAATCTCGAACGGGCCTATATACCTTGGACTTAGCTTTCCTTTCTTGCCAAACCGAGATAGTCCTCTTATTGGCGAGATCTTAAGAAATACATGGTCGCCAACTTGAAACTCCAACGGTCTACGCCTTCGGTCCGCGTAACTTTTCTGACGACTCTGGGCTGTTCTCAACCTTTCCCGGATAACCTTTTACTGTTTCCACCGACTGCTGAACCAATTCTGGGCCCGTTATACTTCTTTCTCCTACCTCATCCCAATACAACGGTGTTCTACAAGCCCTGCCATATGGTGTTTCGAATGGCGCCATTCTGATACTCTGCTGGTAGCTATTATTGTAGGCAAATTCCACCAAATGCAATTGTTCTTCCCACTTGCCCTGAAAGTCTAACACACACGCCCTCAGCATATCCTCTAATGTCTGAATAGTCCTCTCAGACTGGCCATCCGTCTGAGGATGATAGGTCGTGCTGAATTGCAACTTAGTCCCCATGGCCGATTGCAGACTTTCCCAAAAATTCGCAGTAAACCGGGGATCACGGTCCGAAGTGATTGATACCGGTACTCCATGAAGACGAACAACCTGTCGCACATATAACTCTGCCAGCCTTTCTAGCTCGAAGTCCTTTCGCACCACCAGGAAGTGCGCTGACTTGGTCAATCTATCTACTATCACCCAAATAGAATCATGTCCCCTCTGGCTTCTCGGCAGTCCCGTTACAAAATCCATTATGATATGTTCCCATTTCCATTCTGGGATTTCCAACGGTTACAACATTCCACCAGGCTTACAATGTTGTGCCTTCACTTGTTGGCACGTCAAACACTTGGCCACATGCTTGGCTACATCTACTTTCATTCCATTCCACCAATAGTGTTGACGAAGGTTCTGGTACATCTTAGTGCTGCCCGAGTGGATACTGCAATTGCTCCTATGAGCCTCTGACAAAATCTCTTCCTTAAGCTCCAAATCATCGGGCCCACACAAACGTCCTCGAAATTTGAGAATTCCATCTTCAGACACTCGGAAGTTCGGTTTCCTCTTAGTGTTATCCATACTCACGATTTTCTGAGTCTCAAGGTCCGTAGACTGCAACGTCTTGATCTTGGCTTGCACTTCCGGCTCAATCCTTAATGTCGCCATCAGACTGGAGAGGTATCTTACCTCGAACTTGAATTCCGAGTCCCGCGCTCCTTCCAATAAAATCCACTCTTTAACCAACAAATGCGCGATGCTCGATTTCCAACTTAAGGCATCCGCTACCCGGTCGGCTTTACCAGAATGATACAATATGTCACAATCATAGTTCTTCAACAGCTCCATCCAACGCCTCTGCCTCATATTCAATTCTTTCTGCGAAAACAAATATTTGAGGCCCTGATGGTCCGTGTAGATCTGGAACCTTTCTCCACATAAGTAGTGCCTCCAAATCTTAAGCGCGAAAATAATTGCTGCTAGTTCCAAGTTGTGGGTCGGGTACTTTATCTCATGAGGTCTTAACTGTCTCGATGCATAAGCAACCACCATTCCATGTTGCATTAGCACACATCCCAATCCTTTGAGCGAAGCATCGCTATAGATCTCATACCCGCCCGGTCCTGAAAGAATCGTCAACACTGGTGCCGTCGTCAATCTCTGCTTCAATTCTCGAAAACTCTCTTCACACTTTTCCGTCCATTCAAACTTCGTTTCCTTCTTAAGCAACTTCGTCAGCGGAGTGGCTATAGCTGATAATCTTTTCACAAATCGCTGATAATACCCTGCCAGTCCTAAGAAACTCCAAACCTCAGTAACTGTCGTCGGTCTCGGCCAATCCATTACTGCCTCAATCTTTACCGGATCCACGAAGATTCCTTCTCCGGAAATTATATGTCCAAGAAATGCAACTCGACTTAGCCAAAATTCGCACTTGCTAAACTTAGCATACAGTGCATGCTCTCTTAATGTCCTTAGAACCTTTTCCAAGTGTGCCTCATGTTCCTCGGGACTATTTGAATACACCAAGATGTTGTCTATGAAGACAATGACGAACTGATCTAAGAATTCTTTGAACACTCGATTCATTAAATCCACAAAGGCTGCAGGGGCGTTCGTCAGTCCAAACGGCATCACCGTAAACTCATAGTGTCCATACCTCACCCTAAATGCCGACTTCGGCACGTCCTCCTTCTTAATCCTTAATTGGTGATAGCCAGTCCTCAGATCGATCTTATAAAACACTGACGTCCCTTGTAACTGATCAAATAGGTCATCTATCCTTGACAACGGGTACTTATTCTTAATGGTCACCTGGTTCAGTTGTATGTAGTCAATGCACAACCTCAATAATCCATCCTATTTCCTTACGAATAACACTGGCGCTCCCTATGGAGACGCACTAGGGCGAATGAAGCCTTTATCCAATAACTCATGCATTTGAACTTTCAATTCTTTCAATTCCGATAGCGACATCCTATAAGGTGCCTTCGAGATCGGTTCTGTACCTGGGGCTAACTCAATCACGAACTCCACTTCTCTATCAGGGGGCAGTCCCGGCAATTCCTGAGGAAAGACATCGGGAAAGTTGCACACGACGGCTATGTCTTCTAGCCTCGGCTTTTTAACCAACGAGTTAACCACACGATAGTTATCTTTCTACAGCTCATGACAAAGCTCAATCCATCCAATTTCAATCCAGCAATCTCCCAAAGCAAATCACTCCCATTCTTTACAAAATCCGAAATTTCCAAGCAATAACTCATCCTTCCAAACCCGTCCAAAATGTCATCAGTAATCCATAAATCATTAAACCGATTGCGCCTATTTACCATAAAATTGAATATAAGTCTTACATGACCACTCAAGCGATAATTTCAAAACCATCTCCTAATGCACCCAATATCATCTCATAATGCATCTAGACTTTCAAGGCACATCCTTCGCTTCCATCTCAGCCACAACATACACTTTTCCTTACGTCCTTAGCCGATTCTGATTAATCTGCGGGGCAACTCTTGCTTAATGTCCTTTCTGCGGTCGCTGCAATTGCATTAGTGACCTAACCTGTCGGTTCAACAATTTCCAACTTGGTGACCTTACTGTCCATATCCACAACATGCTCCACTTCTACCTTGGTAATGGCCATTTCTATGTCTCTTTCCACAAGACCCACATGTGGCGTTAGAGTAGTAGTTCGGCTTTCTAGAGTTCTTTCTTACTAGAGGGACAAATCTCTGATTCTCTGTCATAGACTTCTTTCCAAAGTTCCTATTATCCCTAGCCGGCGCGTACCGCGATCCAGAAACAGCAGCCCTTTCACTCATATCCATGTCAACCATCGGGCTCCCTCATACAACTCATTGTAATCCCTTAAAACTCAAAAGTACTAACTGATTGCGGAATTCCGGTTCCAATCCATCCCGAAACCTCCTTGTCCTATCCACATGGTCCTTGACCATCCTTGGTGCGTACTTAGGCAACCTTACAAATTCGACCTCGTACTGATCGACTGACATCTGATTTTAGCGAAGCCGAAGAAATTATGTCATTTTCTGTCCTTGTGCACTCTCCAAAAAGTACTTCCTATTGAAGGCCTAAATAACGACACCCCAGCTTGGAAATATGCCCTCTGAAATATCCTACTTCGAGGGTCCTCTTACCAATCACTTGCATTTCCCTAGAGTTGATATATAGCCAGGGTCACTTTTTCCTCATCAGTGCACCCGAATACCTCAAAAGCAATGTAGCCTCAGGGTCATCTTTACCATCGAACTTCAGAGGTTTCAATTTCAAATATTTTCCAACCAGCTGACGCATCTATCTGACTGCATTAACTTGCCCTTGACCTTGATTCCCATCATTCCCATTAAAATTCCAACTTCTTCGAGTACCCTCAGAATTCCATCCACTCTGGGATCCTCTGCAACTCCAGCTTGCGGACTTACATGACCTTGACCTTGACCTCAACCTCGACCTCGACTGCTCAAACTCACAGGGTCACACCACTTACTTACCTGCTATAATTCCCCTCGGAAATTAAAGACCTAGGCCAACTATACCAGTCTAAAGCCCTAGGCAGTGAATCACAACAATAATTCACTAAGCAGGCAGCCAATCACAAACAACACCCAATCACAACCAACAAAGTTCGTGCACTTACCTCAAGTCCTGACGCACCTGCACCTCACATAATATTGCATAAAATCACTCAGCAATCACAATCACGCAGTCTGGGGTACGCATGGCACACAAATCTCCCTAACTAACTACCCTAAAGTCATCGCTCCTTATCACTCCAATTTCGACCATCTTGGTTCGAGCTAACCTTGCGCTGATACCAAATCAACAGGGATGTCACGCCCCGGACCCCAACGGCTCGCGACACCCCTTCAGTGGTCGTATTGAACGCGACGTCCCAGGACGCGTCGCCGACCCAAACGAAACACCCAACGATAAAGGCAAGCGGAAACGAATTTAAAACAACCCAGACAATAAAATATGACAAAGGGATAGCACAAAACAATAATTCCAAATACACAACATCAAAAGGGAATAGTGGTGGGGTATCCTACTTCGCTCTATACAAAAGAGGGGCACACAAAATATGGGGTAACTTGACCCGTCCTCCATCCCCGAGATACCCTGTTGGCGTCTCCAATCAATCACGGTCGCAGATCTGAAAATGGTTATATAATAACCGTGAGAACGAGTCTCAATAAGCAACCCCATATACCCCACATAGGCCAATGCGTACCCAGACAAGTTGTAACATGCAATCTAACCAATAACTTATATATAATTCACATCAATGGACTTACCTCGCTATCCAATCACATGCCCACACTGTACATTAGTCAAATCACATTAGTGCATCCAGCAGAGCTCATATTCAGATCACACAGGGAAATTTCCCATGCATCATACAATAACACTCGCGCGTGTCTCGATTATAAGGTAAAACCACTTGGGCACGTCCCATACCATGCCTAGCAGTATTCACCTCATAATCAAACACTATGCAACATGCGTGGTCCAGCCAACTTTCTCACGACCTCCCAGGTCCTTTCACACTGCCCGCGCCACTGCGCCTCAGGCCCATTCTCACGACCCGCGCTACTGCGCCTCAGGTCAGCCCTCAGATCAAGCCGGGCTCCGTCCCTCACTGGACATTTCACACTTTCCCACGACCCGCGCTACTGCGCCTCAGGTCAGCCCTCAGATCAAGCCGGGCTCCGTCCCTCACTGGACATTTCAATCTTTCCCACGACCCGCGCTACTGCGCCTCAGGTCAGCCCTTAGATCAAGCCGGGCTTCGTCCCGCGTAACCACGC